GGTGTGTTTATAGGTTTTGTTTTCAGGGTTAGTATCATGCATGACGCATATTTATAAAAATTCAGAATTGTTACTGAAAGACTCTGTAAACAGACTGTGAAAGTTATTTTATGAGGACACGGTCATTGAGTGACCAGTTAGCATTCAGTATATTGCAAGTGTGTACATCAATGATTTTATCACCTCTTTAGAACCAGCTAATCTGATAAAGGCACCGTTTCCCAACAACTGTTGTGAGACTGAGGCGTGCTCGGCCGCTTTCCAGAATGGAAATAGTGATGATAGAGAGAAGTCAGGCCAACTGCATTTCAACTAGAAGAATTATTAGTGTTAGAAGTACGTATCCTAGTGGTGCCCTGCGTTTTAGCGAGACATTGAATATTTTTTGAAATTTGCCATTATACTCAAGGCTCTGTGCTAGGATAGTGAAGATGCGAAAAATTATGACCTAGAAAAAAACGGAGACCTCAAAGAGTTTACAAATTCTTTAGCAGGGGACAAAAGACAAACACAGTAATTATCGGACAATAAGCATCCAACTTGAAAGCTGTCAAAGGGAATTAGACCCCAGAGCTCTTAAGAGAGAGAGACAGAAGCTAAAGACCTTTGAAAAGGCGTAGGACCATTTTTTTCTTAGGCCTTAGATTTTTTTTCAAAGGGCTAGCCACAAGTATTATCTTTTTTGTTTTTGTTACTGGTCGATTTGAATTTCAAATAAACACAGAACATGGAACTGCAAATAGGGTCTGATATATGCACTGCATTCTCAGTTATTTAAACTCTGTCTCCTAAATAAAACCAGCCTGGAGAGCGAGGAACCCATCTCTACTATAAATAGAAAGAAATTAATTTGACCAACTAAATCAATTGACCAACTAATTGACCAATTGTCAAAGAAATTAATTGACCATTTGGTCAATTAATTGACCAAATAGAAAGAAATTAATTGACCAATTAATTTCTAACCAGAAATTAATTGACTAAATTAATTGACCAAAGAAATTAATTGACCAAATAGAAAGAAATTTATGGACCAATAGAAAGAAATTAATTGACCAACTAATTGACCCCATCTCTGACATAAAATAGGAAAAGAATTATTGCCAACTGAAAATATATATATTCAAAAATAGACCGGCAGTAGTGGGCGCATGCTGTAGTCCCACGCTAGCTTGGGAGGCTGAGGCAGTATGCGATCGCTAGAGGCCCAGGAAGATTGAGGTTGCTGTGAGCTAGGCTGGATGCCAAGGCACTCACTCTAGCCTACGGCAACAAAGGTGAGAACTCTGGCTCAAAAGAGAAAAAAAAGTTTGTTTACGCTGTATTTGTATACTTTTTATAAGACTTCATTGAGAATTTTGCTAAAAGAAATGGAAGGAACTCCTGACCTCGAGCAATCCACCCGCCTCGGCCTCCCAGAGTGCTAGGATTACAGGCGCCAGCCACCACCCCCGGCTACAAAGAACTTTTAATAGCATCTTAAGTCAAAGTCGATGAGACAAAGGCAGAAATAAATGTTAATTAAAAATACTAGAATAATCTCATATAAGATCTTCAAAAATATTGTCATATATTGGTTAAATAGTGAAATAAATACCTGGCACTGCATTTCCTCAGTTTTGATTTTCAATCCAGCAGTAGAACTCTCAGTTTCTCCATTTACCATGCCTGGTTCCATGGCCAATAAATCTAGGGTTCTCATTGTATGGACATAAAGATCCTTGTTTAATTTTAGGGCTGCCTCTAGTACCAAAATAGAATCAGCAGCTTGTTCTTTTAGCTACAAAAATTCAACAAATTAAAATATAAAAATGTCAATTAATTATACTAACCAAAAGTTATTTACAGGATATTTTAGTGTACTAAGCTAATAAAATTTTTGTTAACACAGCCAGAGTACAATTAAATTTGTTGAAATAAGGTTATCTTAAATGAAAAAAAGTTCCTACTGTGAAATTAGAAAACCTAAAAAACAAGAAAAATTGGTATCTTTCTTCTATAGAAAAGAAAGCAAGAGAAATGCTTTAAAGATTTCCACTGTTCCATTTGATTTATTCAAGAAATGTTTGCATGCTTCACTGTGCCAGCCATTTTACTAGGCACCAGATAACAAAAATAAAATGACGCAGGCTTTCTGCTTCCACATTCAAAATACTATAGCATATTTGCTTTATATCGCTACAGATTGTTTCTTATCTTCCCTCTCCTCCTCCAGTTCCTACCTACACCTCACATGGTATCTAGAACATTGTAGTTGTTAAATAATTAGAGATCATTTTTATTTTTGTTTTTTTCCAACACATCCAGAACACAGAAACAGAGATGTTTAAATTACAGAAACTCCCACATTCCTACTTTTATATTAAGTAGATCAACTAAAAAATAACTATTTTTATAATTTTCTGATTATAAAAATTTAAAAGTATAATACATGTTTATTGTAGAATTTTTGGAAAATACAAAACAATATAAACGCATCACTTGTAAGATCAATTACTTATATCTGCTAAAATATCATGAAATATTCAATAATAGAATTCGTGGTAAAGTTGAAAATACCAATAAAGCTGAAAATCTGTATGATTTAAATATTACCTAAATTCTAACAGTAAAATATAACAGTATATATATGTAAAATATAACAGTATAATAATATCATTAGTACCTAGACCTTGGAAACTTTCATTTACTTAAAATTAGAAGATGCATCTATACATGCTCTAAATGTGTTCCAGAAATTTCAGTGTAACTAATACTAATACTTACCACTTTCAAAATGTTTTCTGTTAGCTCTTTTTCCTGTTGCATCTGATTCATACTAAAAGACAAATGATTAAAAGAAGAAGAGTAGCAAAAGTTACTCTCAGACCAAAAATGCAAAACATAAGAACATCAATTTTTTTTTTTTTTTTCCAGAAGGTTTCACTCTGTTGCGGCGTGGCCATGGTTCCTAATTCACCGCAACTTCAATCCTGGGCTAGCAATCTCTGTGCTCAGGCTCCTGGTAGCTGGATTTACCTTACAGGCATGGCGTACACAATGCCCGGCTAATTTCTATATATATTTTTATTTGTCCGATAAATTTCTTTCTATTTTTAGTAGAGATAGGGTCTCACTCGTTGTCAGGTTGGTCTCAACTCTGGTACATCGCCCACTCAGCTCCCAGGAGTGCTAGGATTAACAGGCGTGAGCACTGCTGCCTGGCTGGAACATCAATCTTGACAGTGAAGTTCCATTTAAATAATATTAATGCTTCTTTTCATGCTTTAAAACAAACTCCAACCTATTATGGAGCTCAATACAATATTTTTATTTGCTTTGATTTAAAAAAGAAGAAAACCCCCTCAATTTAAGAGTAAAACTTCGACAAAAGCTCATTTACATGGAGTTAAAACTACGCTTCTCTATCGCCAATTTGGTAAGCTGCTACTGGATAAGAATTAGGTAGGCTGGGTCATGGTGTCATACCTGTAATCTACTCTAGGAGGCGGGCGGGGGGTATCGTTTGGCTCAAGATTCGAGACTGAGATGAGCAAGGAGTGAGGACCACTCTACTAAAAAAAAAGAAATAGAAATTAGCTACACTAAAAAAAAAAATATAATAATTAGTCAGGCCACCATGGTGGCACATGCCTGTATCTCAGCTACTCGGGATGAGCTGACAGGATTGCCTGAGCTCAGGAGTTCGAGACCAGCCTGAGCAAGAGTGAGACCCCATCTCTACTGAAACTAGAAATAAATTAGCCAGAGAACTAAAAACAGAAAAATTAGCCAGGTAGGCCGGCGCGTGGCCTCACGGCCTTAATCCTTAGCTCTTGGCAGGCGGAGGCGGCGGATTGTGAACGTCAGGAGTTCAAAACACACCTGGCAAGAGCGGAACCCGTCTCTACTATAGAATAGAAAGAAATTTATTGAACGAGCGGGGTGATATATATAAAATATAGCCGGGTCATTGGGCGCAGCCTGTAGTCCAGCTACCGGGGCTGCAGGCAGAAGTCACTCGCAGCCCAGGAATTTGAGGTTGCTGTGAAGCTAGGCTGCGCCACAGCCACTCCTATAGCCTGGGCAACAAAGCGGAGAATCTGCCTCAAAAAAAAAAAAAAAAAAAAAAAAATTAGCCAGGCATCGTGGCATGTGACTGTAGTCCCAGCTACTCGGGAAGTTGAGGCAGGAGGATCGTTTGAGCCCAGGAGTTTGAGGTTGCAGTGAGTGTGTGCTGATGCACGGCACTCACTCTAGCCCAGGCAACAGAGTGAAACTCTGTCTCAAAAAAAAAAAAATAATTAGGTTTAAACTCCAGATATTATCAAACTTTTATAATGAACTATTATACAACTAATATTTACACATATTAAAATGACTTTCCTACACACAACGCAAATATATCCTCTTCAAGACAACCTAAATTTTTAAAAAGCTTAATATTTTTAGAGGAATGGCACAGTTCCCAAATACTCCCCTTCTTTTTCAGAGCTCTGTATCTACAGCACTAGCAGTGCTCCAATCACTCTAACTCCTCCAAACCAACCTTTACACAGGCCTTCTGCCTCCTATTTCCGCTCTACTTCCTCTAAAATAGGGGTTATTAAAAACTTGCAGAATGTTTTAAAACTCTAATGAAAAAATGCCAAATAAGGGTCATATCTGCCAACTTACACACTTAACTGAGGTGGTCCAGGTTTTGCTTGTTTGACAGGAAAACTACTTTGAACAATTGTCCTAATTGCCCTGAAGACAAGACAGGAAAAAAGAAAATTTAACATATTATAAATGTCACTTCAATTATTTTTTTCAAGTACTACTCTTAGAAGATGTTTATAATAAATTATCTGAAGCTTTAATTGGCATATAATGAATACTTTCTAAATCATCCACATTTTTACTAGAAGGCTTTTCATCTATGCAGCCACAAATTTTCTCTACCATCAGACTCACAGTTCCCAAGGTCCTCTCAGAGATCTCTGAGGATCTTATCAAACAACCAATCAAAAGGGGTCCTTTAAAAGCATACCCAATACTCATGTGATGAGGATTCAAAAATTAAAATAGCATACCCCTAAAAGCTACAGTACAATAAAACAGAGACTGCCCAGCACATTCTGGTTTTATAAAAATATTTACCATCTATTGTAGAGAAGTATAGCCATAGCGGTGGTTGGAGGTAGAGTGGCCAGATCCATGTCTACATGCTTTGTCCCAGAGGGAACTTTACTGATACAGAGCAGTTCATTTAGTAGCATATTCAACACTGGAACAGACAAACTTAAAAGGAAGAAACAAAAGGTACATGTTTGTGTGTTAACTGCATAAGAAGCACAAAATACATACACAATTCCCTATCTTCACTGAAAATAACTACATTGTTAAAAGACCAAATCTTCAGGTTTACCTATCAAATTTGAAAAGATTTTTAGAAGTTTTTATTATGAAAAAAGATTTATTTATTTTTTTAAAATGTCAACATATACAAAAGTAGACATATTACCATGAATCCCCATGTATTCATCGTCCAGCTTCAGTAATTATCAACTGATGGCCAATCTTGTTTCACCTCTACTCTTACCCACTCATTCCTTCCATAAATATTTCAGAATATATCTCAAAAAATTAGCTTTTAACATAATCACAGCATTAATATCACTTGTAAAAATTTAAAGTTGCTTATAAATTATCAAATATACAATCAGTGTTCAATTTTCTGACTGCCTCACATTTGCCATAGTTCTTTGTACACATTGCTAGCTGCTGACAGGTCTCTTCAGTCTATTTATGTATAGGTTCTGGTTCAGATTAAAGAATACATTTTTTTCTAATTCAAATATTTAACACTGGAGAATGTGGTGGGGGGAGGCAGTTTTACATACTACTGGTGAGAGCATAAACTCTTTTGGAATGTAATCTGGCAATACTGTGTCTTAAAAATGTTTATACCACATGACCCAGCAATTTAGGAATCTATCCTAAGGCTATAACTTACGGTTTATGGGCAAAGATATTTAAGGCCTTGTGATTTAAAATAGTGAAAAGCTAGAAATAAACTAAATGACTGTCATTGTAGGAATAATTAATGAATTATTCATCCAATGGAATCATCTCCAAAAAATAAAAATGGGGAAATGTTCATGCTATTCTGTTAGGTGAAAAAAACAGAAATCAAAACAGCATATAGGACATGATTACAATCTTGTTTAAAACCATAGAGAGAGGCCGGGCGCGGTGGCTCACGCCTATAATCCTAGCTCTCTGGGAGGCCGAGGCAGGCGGATTGCTTGAGGTCAGGAGTTAGAAACCAACCTGAGCAAGAGTGAGACCCCGTCTCTACTATAAATAGAAAGAAATTAATCGGCCAACTTATATAGAAAAAATTAGCCGGGCATGGTGGCACATGCCTGTAGTCCCAGCTACTCAGGAGGCTGAGGCAGCAGGATTGCTTGAGCCAGGAGTTTGAGGTTGCTGTGAGCTAGGCTGACACCATGGCACTCACTCTAGCCTGGGCAACAAAGTGAGACTCTGTCTCAAAAAAAAAAAAAAAAAACCATAGAGAGAAAAAGAACAAAAATTACAAAAAAAATGTTAAAATATACTTCTCTCAGGCCAGGCGCAGTGGCTCACGCCTGTAATCCCAGCACTCTGGGAGACCGAGGTGGGTGGATTGCTCAAGGTCAGGAGTTTGAAACCAGCCTGAGCAAGAGCGAGACCCCCATCTCTACTAAAATAGAAATTAATTGGCCAACTAAAAATATATAGAAAAAATTAGCTGGGCATGGTGGCACATGCCTGTAGTCCCAGCTACTCAGGAGGCTGGGGCAGAAGGATTGCTTGAACCCAGGAGTCTAAGGTTGCTGTGAGCTAGGCTGATGCCACAGCACTCTATCTAGCCCAGGTAACAGGGTGAGACTCTGTTTCAAAAAATAAAATAAAATAAATAAAAACTTCTCTCAGGAGTAATATCTGGGGGAAAAAAAGAAAAAAACAACAAAAAAAGCCCATATTTCTCTCCTCTCCCCCATTATTTCCTATTTTCTGAATTTTTCCCAACTTCCTATAAGGTATTAATATTTCTTTACCTGTGAGGCAAAGGGGATGAAAACAAATCATTTTCTAACCACAGACTTGAAAGGATTTATTTTTAAACAAAAAAGCACTGACTTTAACCAGCTATTTTAATAGTTAGGGAGATGGTGAATGATTTACGATCAGCAAAATTAACTGAATTATTCACCAGCAAGTCATTCATAATATATACAACACTCATTAACTTTTATTCACTTTATTGAGATATGTGAAAGTCAACTGAAAAATTTTAAATAGTTTAGGTATACATTTACTCTAGTCACTACACCAAAAATAATATTAATAATGATGTTATTATTACTGATAACACTGAGTTTATACTTTACAGGGTGATTTAAATTCATCTAACATTCAAATATTTTCTTGTACCTTTTGAAAAATACTCACCTATTTTACCAAGACTATAGAGAAAATAATTTTAAGGGCCAATATCATAAAAGCACATATAGAAATAAACCAAAATATATAAATACTTCAAAAAAATTTTTCACTTGAATCTTGTATACCTTTTCTCTAATATGTCTAAGTCCCACTTTAAATGTGCAGCAACTTTAAGAGCAAGAAGTTTTAAAATACGATTTCTCTTGTTATCAGGTGGAGGTTGAACTTGATTTTGTTCATTAACTGAAGGTTTGGAAGCCTGTTCCAAAAACTGAACTATAAGTTGAACTGGTGCAGGATCTACAATTAAACAGAAAATAAATTCTTGAAGTTTTCATTATGAAGATGCAAAAGGATTCAGTATTGTTTTTTGGCCACAAATGGAATCCAAACCGCTATGTAGTTACAACGACTAAGAAATATTATTTATAAGAAGTGTGCTTGCAGGCTAAAGATCAGAGTGATAAGAAGCAAAGAATAAAAGATTAATCCACAAGAAAACACTTCCCAGGGAAAAATGTAATAAAGATTCCAGGTTCAGCAAATACCCAATGCCAATTAGAGGAAAGAGATCCAGGTATTAGAAGTACTGTCTTGACGCTTGATTAGGGCGATCTGCATCAAGTTACCGGGCACCTGTTTCCTCTAATGCAAAATGGAGGATAACACCACCCACCTCACAGGATCATTAGGAAGACTGAATAAACGAGATAACAGATGTGAAGAACTAAGCACAATGCCTAGCACTCTGAAAGCACTTAACAAATGTCTGTCAAAAGGAATGTCAATTAAAAGGACATAATACAGGTGGGTAAAACTACCCAAATAAAATACACTAACTTCTCACACAGCATTCTCCATCAGTTAAGGCCAGTCTATAAGACTGAACAAGCCTATGTGGATCTGAGTTTAGCAAAATGCTATTCAAGTAACTTACCTTTTCACACAAGTACCTTTTTCCAGAAACGCCTGGAGTTCTCCTCCTCCCCCATAACACCCGTTTAATTGGGATCTTAATCATTATCATCACTATACACAATAACCATCTTGCAACCGTGCAGCAGTCCCCGCCCTCAAAGATTTCAATTTACTGCCCAACTTTGGAATATACAATTAAGAGTCAGAAAGATCCCCTAATTGAGGAACAAAATATGTAAATAAGAACCTAAGATAATAACTAGCGTCAGGGTCAGCACCAGAACAGCTGATTTCTCCCCATCTCCCTGACTTTCCAGCCTGGGATTCCGTAAAGAGAGAGTTGGCAGCCTCCCGGACCCAAGCAAACCCCTGCCAGCCTCGCAGGCGCTGAAACCCCAAACAGTGAAAGTGACCAACGGGGGCGGGCTGACAGCGCCAAGCCCGCCTTCCGGGGGCTGCAGGGCCTTTGTTTTGAGGTTTTCTCAGACCCACCAAGGCGGTGCCCCCCGCACGGGTTGTTTAGCGCACTGCGAAGGGCCGAGCCAGAACTCGGCTCCGGTCCGCGCCCCCCAGGCTGCAGCTTCTGTGGCCGAGAAGGCGGGGTGTGGAGGCAGGCCGTGCAGACGTCGCCGGTGGCCGCGTCCCGTTCCCCAGCCGCAGGCGCCAGGCTTACCAGGGCAGGGCTTGCGCAGATGTTTCTCCAACAGCGACTCCTCCAGCAGGAACTCGAACCAACAGGTCTGCGGCGGGGTGCAGGGCCGGCTGGAGGTGGCCGCCTCCCGGTCCGCCGCCTCCGCGCTCATCCTGCCCCCGCCGCCGCTACCCCCAGGGACGCTTCCTGGCTCCAACCTGACCCTCGGACGCGGGCCCTGGGCCTGTGATTTGCGGAACCGGTCAGTACACAGCCGCACCCGGAGCGGCCCGGAAACTCACACAATCCAAAATGGCGGCGTGGGCCAGCCAGAGCGGGGCTCCTGGATCCGCCTCCCTGCGCCATCTCCGCGCCTTCGGGCCAATCGTAGTTAGGGTCGGAGAGAGGGGGCGTGGCCAATCCTCGGACCACACCTCCTCCGGTTGCCATGGGAGACGGGGCCGCGAACAGCCAGGTCTGAGATGGGCTTTCCCTTTCCATGGTAGTTCTTCGGCGAGAAAATGAAACCACCTCATCTAGGGTTACGGCAGGCCTCAATATTTTCCTAAAAGACAGCGAATGCGACAGGTTCTAGTTGTGACCCAGGCAAAGTTGGTCTCCGGTGCTTTCCATTTCCCCATCTGCATTTCTGAGAATAGGTCTTGTCCACAGATGCTCCCCACTGTCGTGGGCACCAGCGTCCCCGCCCCCTTCCTGGCTGGATGACTAAGTACGGTGAGATCTAGACTTTCTGCCTAATTAATCCTCTTGATATCCCCACTAGAGGTGCTGTTGATCCCATTTTACATTTATCTCTATTCTGTAATGTTCTTGTATTTTTTTATTTCTTTTTTTTATTTTTTCGTTTTCTTTTTTTTTGTTTCTTTTTTCTTTGTTTTTTTTTTATTTTTTATATTCTTTCTTTAACCAAGATGTTTGTAATGTTCTTGTATTTTTTACTAACAAACGATTAAAATTGAGAAAAGTACATTCATAGATCGTGAACAGATTAAGAGTGCAAGTGCTAGAGTCCATCATTCTAACGCTCTGGATAGACTATTTAACCTTTCTGAACCTTAGTTTCCACATTTGTAAAGCCGAGATAATAGTGGTGCCTAATTTTAGGATTGATAAAAGAATTAAAAGAGGCAGAGCTAAAGTATGATACGGGTAAATGAGATAATACAGGTAAGCTTTCTAGGACAGTTTCTAGAACTGACACCTAGAAAAATCAATAAATGTCAACTAATATATAGTGCTTTTCTGTTTGCAAATTATTTCCTATTGAGTAGTCCCCCCTTTTCCACAATTTTGCTTTCGGAGGCTTCAATTACCCGTGGTCAACCTAGGTCAGAAAATATCAAATGGAAAATACCAGAAATAAGCAATTCATAAGTTTTAAATTGCATGCCGTCCTGAGTAGCATCTGACAACCTCCCTCCTGGGCCAGGAATATCTCTTTGTCCAGAGTATCCACACTGTCTACATTACCTGCCCATTAGTCAACTAGTAGCCTCTTAGTTATCAGATCAACTGTCACAATATTGTAGTGCTTGTGTTCACCCTTATTTTAAAGAGTATTGGTGCTGGCATAGTGTTAAAATCATTCTATTATATTATTAGTTATTATTGTTAATCTCTTACTGTGCCTAATTTATAAATTAAATGCTATAATAGGTGTGTATATATAAGAAAAAACAATATATATAGCATTCAGTATGTTTTTTTGTTTTGTTTTATTTTGTTTTGTTTTGTTTTTTAAGTCTGGTCAAGTGGAGCAGTGGGAGTGAAGAAGGAAGAAAGGAATCTGATTCAGTATGTTAAAATGATAGCCAGGCATGGTAACTCATGCCTATAATCAGGATAGCTTGTGCCCAGAAGTTTGAGACCAGCCTCGCCAACATAGATAAACACTGTCTCAAAACTTAATTAATTAAAATAAAATTTTCATTTAAAAAGTAATACACTTGGAAAGATAACATCAGGAAACTGAAAAGACAAGATACAGATTGGGAGAAAATACTTGCAAATCATATAATTCATAAGGTATTTACATCCAGAATATACAAAGAACTTTTACAACTCAACAATAAAATGACAACCAAACTGAAAAATGAGGAAAGGATTTGAATAGACAGTTCTCCAGAGAAGATATATAAATAGCTAATATGCACATGAAAAGATGCTCAACATCATTAGTCATTAAAGAAGTGCAAATCAAAATTACATGAGATAACATTCCATACACACTAAAACAACTGTGATCAAAAAGACAAAAATAAGTGTTGATGAGGATGTGAAGAAGTTAGAACCCTCATACATGTAAACTGTAAAATGATCTGACCACTTTTGAAAATAATTTCGCAGTTTCTCAAAATGTTAAACAGACTTACCAGATAATTCGTCAATTCCCCTTTTAAGGAAATGAAAATATATGCCCACACAAAGACTTGTGCATGAATGTTTGTAGCTGTACTATTTATAATAGCCAAAAAGCAAAAACAACCCAAGTCTCCATCATCTAGTGAATAGATAAGCAAAATGTGATATATCCATTGTATTTGTTTCATGTAGCTGTTATAACAAATTACCATAAACGTCATGGCTTAAGGCAAGTGTCCTCAAACTACAGCCCAAGGGCCACATGCAGGCGTTTTGGCCCGTTTGTTTTTTACTTCAAAATAAGATATGTGCAGTGTGCATAGGAATTTGTTCATAGTTTTTTTAAAACTATAGTCCGATCCTCTGAGGGACAGTGAACTGGCCCCCTGTTTTAAAAGTTTGAGGACCCCTGGTTTAAGGCAACAGAAATTTATTCTCTCACGGTCCTGAAGGCCAGAAGTCTGAAATCAAGGTATCAGCAGAGACACACTCCCTCCAGAGTCTCTACAGAAGAATCCCATCCTTGTCTCTTATAAATTCTAGTGAGATTCTTTGGCTTACAGCCACATAATTCACAATCTCTGCCTCTATTTTTACATTGCCTTCCCATCTCCTGTCTGTCAAATCTCCTGTGTGTCTCTTATTAGGACACTTGTCATTAATCTAGGCACCTACCTACCCCAGATAATCCAGAATGATCTGTTTATCTCAAGACCCTTATCATCTAATAGTCACAGAATATACATTCTTTTTTTTTTTTTTTTTTTTTTTTAAGACTAGTCAAGTGCAGTAGTGAGGAGGGGGGAAAGTAGTAACAAGGAGTTCAATCTGTAACTGACTGTGAACAATCACGTGAGATACTCACTACCTTCGGACCAGCCAGATATACATTCTTAAGTGCACGTGGAACATTCTCCAGGATAGATCATATGTTAGGCCACAAAACAAGTCTTAACAAATTTAAGAAGACTGAAATCATATCAAACATCTCTTCCAACCACACCAGTATGAAACTAGAAATCAATAATAGGAGGAATTTTGGGAAATTCACAAATATGTAGAAATTAAACAACATGCTTCTGTCAAAATTAAAATATAGAGACAGATCTCTAAGCAAAAGATTTTATTTAGAAATATATATAAAAACAGAATTTCAATTAGGGGAATATGCACAGACTGGGGTAGTCATTGGTGTGTCTGAAGAACAAAGTAAAAGTTTGGGATTTATTAGAAAAGAGAAATGTTACATAAAATGTTTTGAAAGCACATTTATTGGTGCTAATGAAGTTTCTCTGAAATTTCTCTGAAGCTGGCAAGCTCTGACTGGTGAGCAAGGCTGGTAGGTAAAACTAATCTTAGAGTCATGGCAGGTCATTTTTGGCAGGTGCTAGATAAAACTGATCTTAAGTTTATAACAGGTTGTTTCAGCAGCTGAGCTTGCAAGACAGTACCCAGAGCAGGCACTTTGTGGCCTGAGTCCTTTTTCTCTTTCGTCTCTTGACTCTAATTTAGTCAGATATGACAGAAACAATCCCAATTCATAAAATCAATTTTCACACTCCTAAAGACCAAAGAAGTAAAAAAAAATTAAAAGGGAAATTTGAAAACTATCTTGAGACAAACAAAAATGGGAACTCAAAATATCAAAACTTACAGGGCACAACAAAAGCAGTTCCTCCCCTAAGTGGGAAGTTCATAGCAATAAACACCTACATCAAAAAGGGAGAAAGATCTCAAATAAACAACCTAACATTACACCTCAAGGAACTAGAGAAGAGCAAACTAAGCTCAAAGTTACTAGAAAGAAGAAAATAATAAAGATCAGAGTAGAAATAAATGAAATAGGCCAGGCACAGTGGCTCATGCCTGTAATCCTAGAACTCTGGGAGGCCGAGGCAGGTGGATCACTCAAGGTCAGGAGTTTGAGACCAGCCTTGGCAAGAGTGAGACCCTATCTCTACTAAAAATAGAAAGAAATTATCTGGGAAACTAAAAATATATAGAGAAAAAATTAGCTGGGCATGGTGGCACATGCCTGTAGTCCCAGCTACTCGGGAGGCTGAGGCAGAAGGATCGCTTGAGCCCAGGAGTTTGAGTTACTGTGAGCTAGGCTGATGCCACGGCACTCTAGCGGGCACAGAGTGAGACTCTGTCTCAAAAAAAAAATCACACTCAGTAAAAGGAAACAAGTTATAGAAAAATAGGTACAATATAGTACATGTAAGTTAAAAAAAAATGCCTGAATACTACAGCAAGTCCTCACTTAATGTTGTTGACAGATCCTTCAAATATGAGATTTTACGCAAAACACATAACTAAACCAGTTTTTCCATAGGCTTATTGGTGTTAACAAGAGTTAAGTTCCTAAGGCATATTCTGGTCACAAAAACATCATCAAATTTCCAATAAAGACCCCAAACACTTCTAAAACTAAACATTGAAATAAATGTGAGCTATGCATACATTTAAGAAAGAATAATAAGAACAAATAAGATAATTATTTAATATTTACCTAATTACTCTTGCTGAGGGTCCCAGGTGACCAGAGCCTCTCCCTGTAGCTAAGGCTGAAGACAGAAACCAACCCCGGACAGGACACCCTTCCATCTCAGGGTGCACTCACACACACCCCATAATCAGACTGGGGCCATGTAGACGCACCCATTCGCGTAACGTGCATCCCTGGGATGTGGGAGGAAACCAGAGTACCGGAAGAAAAAACATGCAGACATGAGGAGAACATGCAAACTTCACTCACGTAGCAGCCTCCATCAGGAATTGATTTTTTTTCTCATCAACATTATAATAACGTGGCCAGGCGTGTTGGCTCACGCCTGTAATCCTAGCTCTCTGGGAGGCCGAGGCGGGCAGATTGCTCGAGGTCAGGAGTTCGAAACCAGCCTGAGCAAGAGTGAGACCCCATCTCTACTATAAATACAAAGAAATTAATTGGCCAAGTGATATATATAA